CACAGAATAAATGAATACAAATGAAAATTCTAATGGAAACCTCAAAGATGTTCATAATCAGTAAAAATTTGATTCAATACAGGTAACAAAATTCTGTTAGTGGTAGTGATGTCAGTCAGAGTAGATTTAAGGGTGCCCCTTGGATTATCGCCAAGCTGCTGTTTCATTTATTGCCAAGTTGTTGCTTCATTTACGGAAACCTGAGTAGTTGAATGCTATGGAAACCCTTTTATGACATAACTGGTTGTGTGATTGTAGTCAATTTGAATGATGGGAGAAGATTTAGAAAGTGTGTGTCAGATTTTAGATAAGAAGTACATTGTTATTTTGTGGTTTACTCGGAAAATTAATTTGAAATTTCTGCACGATTTGGAAAGAAAGGGAAAAAAGCATTTATTGACAGGTGTATAACAGAAGGTTTACTTAGTAGGCTATTATTAAGTGTCCTGTTTTGTGGGAAGGAAATGTGTATGGTCAAACGTTGGACAATAACGGCACTATGGAGGATATTTTTGTGAATTTATGTGCTGATGCCAGTATACAGATTCTAGTTCAGATAATTTTAAGAAGTTTTTGGATGCTGTTGAGGAATTCTGTTAGTCTGAAGACACATAAATTCAAAAATAAGGTAAGTGGATATTTCCTTTGTGTAGTGCTAAGATGAATTTCTTTTTTTATGTTATTTCATTGTTTGATTTAAAATGCAGTTTATTGAGATTATATATTTTTTGTTGGTTGCCCCTTTTAAGTGAATATAGATCGATGTGTATATGAACAAAGTTAAGGGAGTGCGTAATGCCTAGTTTGCGCAATTCTCCAATTTTTTTTAAGTGAAAATAGGTTGATGTGGACGTGGATATCATGTTTGTGCAATTCATTGAGTTGTTACTTTGGATTCATGTAGCAGCAGTTTTTTGCACAAAAATCACGGCTACACAAAGCCAAAATAACAAGTCAATGAAATGCACAAACTCGGTGAAGACACAGAAATTTGTAAGTGGATATTTCCTTTGTGTAGTGCTAAGATGAATTTCCTTTTTTATGTTATTTCATTGTTTGATTTAAAATGTAGTTTATTGAGATTACATATTTTTTGTTGGCTGCTCTTTTGACTTTTTAAGTGAATATAGATCGATGTGTACATGGACAAAGTCGAGGAAGTGTGCAATGCTTAGTTTGTGCTATTCTCTGATTTTTTTTTTTTTAAGTGAAAATAGGTCGATGTGTACATGGATACTGAGTTTGTGCAATTCTTTGACTTGCTATTTTGGATTTATGTAGCAACGATTTTTGCACCAAAAATCGCCGCTACACAAAGCCAAAATAACAAGTCAAAGAATTGCACAAATTTGGTGCCCATGTACCATGAAAAATCACCAAAAGGCACCCGGAAATATATTTTTACCATGATGTCAATTTGATAACTGACAAAATTTTCACCCATTAACAGAACTAAACAAAAAATATTTTTTATAAAAAATTATTGACATATTTATGATGTAATTTTATTTAAAAAATTAACATATGTAGAATTAAACATAAAGAAAAAAAATTTTGTTGTCAACATCATTAATCTAGGCCATTTTTAACCTATAGATATTAATCTGTTATAAAATATCAATGACTAATACCCTCATCCAAATTCTTTCAGAACAATCCTTTTCTTTATAAATACCAAAAAAATCAATATTTATTAAAACAATTAAACTAGCCCACCTACTTTGAAACTTTTATACTATTCTTTTTTAAATAGTAGAAATGGAAATGTGCAATCCATAAAGCTATAATTATTTAGCAACTCAATTCTAAATGCACAGGAGAAAATGAATAAGTTTTAAGTAGACAGTGGAATTAATTTAAGCTTTTTCTACAAGCAAATATAGTCTGGATTCTATGAAATTAAAAATTACATTTATATGTATCAACATTCATCAGAATTTAGTTTTTCATTATATAAGCTCTATCATTCATCTCTCTTAACATACATAGGATGCTCAATTTAAAAGTGGATCATGTCTTTCAGAGTTTATAATTTTGAGCATGTTTTGCTCACAGGGATTCTCTAATTCCTAGACGGTTTTGCAATATATAAGATATTGATTAACCAGTTTCCTCTATAATTATATGTCACTTCTCTGACTGCCATTTTAATATTACACATTATAAATGATCAACATTAAATAATATATATATATATATATATTTTTAATGAGGCATGATTTCAAGAAACATTTGTGAGTTTAGAGATTTTCCAAAAAGTCTTGGAAAAGAAAAGGTATCCTTCATAGTAGTACCCCATCACAGAAGGTGCCTGCATCGTTATGCAGGTCAAATGCTGTTTGAAAATGCAAATTTTCATAAGGGAGCTGCAGCAAAAAAGTGCCAATATACTTATGACAATCAGCTCCTGACTTAAAACTGGTTTTCATAAGGGTATGGGCACCATTATGTCAAGTAAAATTTTTATTTTCATAAAGGTGCATAAAAAAAGCATGGAAATTAAATAAATCTTCGGCACCTTCATGCAAAATCAATTCATTCACATCTCATTTTACTGATTAAACTTAGTGGCACAAACAGCTCTAATGGGCCAAGGCCTGCAGTGCCCCGAAATCGGCTTTCTTGACCGTGGGCCCTGGGTGTCTAAGCATATGCCCTGAACAAGGGTCAGCTTGGTCGCAGGACCCCCAGTGTTTAGTCCCCAAGCTAACTTGGTACTCATTTTATTGACCCAAGGGATAGAAATCAAGGGATGAAAGGCTGAGTCGATCTTGCCCAGCCCGGGATTCAAACCCTGGACCTGTGGTGCTGCTGTGCGATGCCCTAGCCACTGTGCCACCAGGCCTTCATATTTGACGGCATATAAGACACACTTTTTTTTCCTAAATTTGGTCTCAAAAACGTTACCTGCATCTTATACGTGAAGGACACAGTCTTATATGTGAAGGTAACTGCATTCAATAATTGTTTATTTGGCTTTTACGAAACGTGAGAACTAAAAGAAACCACGCTATTGAAACTTTTTTTCCTTGTGTGTAGCCGTCTAAATAAGGGTGCGTCTTATATGCCGTCAAATACGGTAATCAATAATGCAAATGAAAATCAGACATGTATAAGAGTGTCCCAGCATAATGATGCCCACACATTTGTTTGTTTAAAATTAGAAATTGATCTTCATAAAGGTTCAAACATTTTTAGACAAAAGTGCAAAATCACCCACTTTTTTGTTTGGTGCTTTTTACATAATTAAGAAGAATTGGATTTTTGTCAATTTTCTTTGACTTTTTAAGTGAAAATAGTTTGATGTGTACATGGATAAAGTCAAGGGAGTGCACATTGCCATTTTTGTGCAATTCTGGGATGTTTTTTTAAGTGAAAATAGGTTGATGTGTACATGGATACTGAGTATGTGCAATTCTTAAGAACGTGCCAAGCAGTGGGCGATTCTGCACTTTACCATTTTTATATCTGAGCATCTTTATGAAAGTTTCTATTTTTCAGAGCAGTAGCAAACCTGTTTAAGGGTGCAAGCACCTTTATGAAGCAATCCCAAAGGACACGCCACACAATTCAACATAGCTAGGCCAACACGCCACACACATCAAATAGGTTGATGTGTACATGGATACTGAGTATGTGCAATTCTTAAGAACGTGCCAAGCAGTGGGCGATTCTGCACTTTACCATTTTTATATCTGAGCATCTTTATGAAAGTTTCTATTTTTCAGAGCAGTAGCAAACCTGTTTAAGGGTGCAAGCACCTTTATGAAGCAATCCCAAAGGACACGCCACACAAAAACTTATTTAAGAAGCTTGAAAAGAAGTTCTGGGAAACTGGATTTGTATCAAACCTCAAATAATACAACTATAAGAGATCTGGTTTTGTCTACTCACATTCTATTTAAGAATGATAAACTGTTTTCTTCTGGTAATGAATGAACATATCAGTATGGAATAAAACTTTAAAGCTAAAAGTATTTTGAATCCAGAATTGCTTTTTATTCACTGGTACTATCTATGTCCTTGAAAGAGTCTTTAAGAAACTTTGCAACATTTACGTTACACTACAGTATCACACATTTATCAACTGCCACTGCGTAGAACATAAGACCTTTGATTTATCTTTCACATAGCTAGGCTAATACCAGTTTATAGACTACCATCACTTGATACAACTTAAGATCTTTAACTTTAAAATCACAAATGCTTAATAAGCAATATTTCATGATAAAAATTTCTCAGTGTTTCAATACACACTAAACAGCTTCACAAAATTAAAGTTATAGACTAACAACAGGAAAAAAATATATACTTTATGGAAAGTGGCCTTTACTACAATATTTTTATATATTATAAGAATTTAAGATTCTGTTAAAACAGTTCCAAAGAACCTGAAAAGTAGACGAAGAAAAATTTTAATAATTTGTCAACTGCATATTCTAAGTTCTTGTACCTGAAAACTTTATATCAACTATTAGTATGATTATAAAAGAAATAGTTTTTGTTTGTTTGGATTAAGTGCTGCAACTTAATTTACGAAGCATACTATTTTTTTGACCAGAATAGCAAGTAAAACTGAGAATTTAAACCTACAGCGCCACATAAGATTCGCGAAATAACAGAAGGCTTCTTTAGAAAAATTAACCTCTTCAAACATTTCCCGAACATGTTGGTATTAAAAACATTTCACAAAGCATATCAGTTTTACTAAGCAGCTCTTAAATTTCGCTGCACATCCAATGTTGCTAATCCACATGACAAAAAAAAAAAAAAAAAAAAAAAAAAATATCATTTCTAGGACTCTTCTATTGTTTATATACATAGTAAATTTTTACGAAAATGATAAAAACAGAAATATTCAAGAGAATCATGTTTAAGTGTGATAAAATGCCGTTCGCTCAAAATAACGTTTCTAAAATCAAAAATCGATTTTAAAACAGTGTTACATAACTACGAATGCTTTATATAAAGAAAAAAAAATTTTTTTTCATGAAACTTACCTATCACTTTTTAAAAACTTTTTCATTATGCTTATGTTTTGTGATGAAATATAGTAACTCATCAGTCTAGTTTCTCTGAAACATAGATCGGATTTACATAAAACGTAAAATTTTTTCTGAAAGTAATAAAGCATTGATAATAAATTATTCGTATCAACAAGTATTGCACATCTTTCTGAAACATTTATATTTCAAATTTATACTGAAGCTTGGTAGCATGTTCATGTGTATTTCAGCACCCAAAAATAATAATAAAAAGACATTTTGTAAGACAAATTCTAAGGTATTATGATGCTTCGCAACTCAACTTTTAAAAATAAACGGAGCTACCCCTTCGATACACGATAGCTCAACGTAGGAAAACGAAACATCTACCGACCGAATCCTTTTCCTGAGCAGTCACAGCTATAGTTAAATAGTTAGATCTGTTATCAAAGTTTTGCACAAAGGTTATAACGTTTCATTGAAGATAAGAGGCGTACATTCAAAAATAAATTATGGAAAAGCATTATCATTTTAAAGTAATTTTAGCATCATTTTATATGACTGAAGGATTATGAATGTTTAGCCCTTAATATGCATGTTGGTTACTTTATGCTTTTTACACGAAATATTAAAGTTTATGGTATTTGGTAATAATTACATGCTGATTTGGTTTGCGATAATTAATATGGATTTGATAATGGTACTGAATTGCATTATTCGACTTAATCGAGTTGGAGTACTTCGATTACACGGAAAATACATAAGAGTGTTTAATGCAGCAATGTGGTTCGAAATTTAAATTTATGAACTATGGGTCTATGAGTTTAAAAATATGAACATATGAAACTCAGAAACTTTTTAAATGTTATTTTTTTGGATATTAGAACAACCATAAGAAATTGTTTAAACGAATTGCTATTCAAATACAAGCAGGTTACTATCTCCCCCTGAAAAATGCAACATGAACGGAGAAACCTTGCTATAAATCTGCACAAACTGATCCGAGGGAGAGTTGTTGGAAACACAAGGAAACTTATTCCCAAATGAGTAACATCATCATATCTGATCTGAGAGTCAGTTTTCAGTATGTAATTCAGTACCTTAGCTACTCCTTATGCCGCTCTAAAATAATACTTACGATCACGGCCATCTCAATGCAGGGAGCTCTTGCCCAGGGCATGTACGAGCATAGGGGCACCATGCTAAGCTATATACAATTCATTTCCATAAGTGGTTGTTCTATTAATGATTCCATAGGTGTTGTATTAGAGGCTCCATAGGTTAATTTATTCACTACTGCTAAGACTACACGGCTTACGATATATTTGGTTCTAACGAACGTTTTCTACCAAAAAACGTTCTTAATAGAGTTCTAAAAAACATGAAAGCAGTACCTTTAGTGCGGGTAGTAATCACCACCTAAATCTATGATTTTTCTGCCAACGTTTTGGTAGGTTTTAGGGCCAGAAACTTGGTGTCCTCGAATCCAAACACAGATCAATCTCATTTCAGACGTCCTGTGCGAAATGGAAGATAGCACCAGCAAGATATAGCTTCAGGTGTGAGCAAAGGCAAAAGTCCGAAGGAGCGATGCCGAGGCTATATGGGGGATGTGACAAAAGATCCCATTCGAGTCCGTACAGATTTCAGCCGGTAAATGCAGACACATGTGGTCTCGCACATGTGGTTTGTACACATGTTATCTTAATGGAACATTAGCTTTTTGCGCCGGAACTCAAATCGACATGTTTCCTTGATAGCAGCGTCAACACGGACTCACGGATCTCGTTGTACCAACTTACTGTCGAGGGTTTTACCTTTTTTCGGGTACTCTTTGTGGAAAATACCACGGGAGTCCACTAGATACAAAGCATGATCTTTATGTTCATTGGGCATAGAACAACCCTCTTTTCAGTCTGTGTTGTTGAAGTAAATCCAGTTTTCATCGTAAGTGACGATCCGATCCAGAATTTTGTCCTTGCGTTCATATTCGAGCTGATTAGAGCGGGCCAGAATACATCTGTCCTTTTCTGCTTGGGTCAGCTAATTCGGCACCCAGCGACTGAACTTGTATGTCACGTTTATGCGATGCATAGAGCGACTAATGGACATGGCACTAACGTCTAACTCCTTAGTAAGCTCTCGAGCGGTTGCATACTGATCTTCTTCCACAATTACTCGCGGGCTAAGGCTCCTCTAGCAGCTCTATCGCTGGCGGGCCTCATCAACATCAGTAAGCCGGCCAGAGCGCTCTGTTTCTTGAATATTATAGTCTTGGGTTTTGAACTTTCGGTACGCAACCTTCACAGTGTCATATGATACAACATTAGTACCTAATGCCGTTTGTACACATGATTTGGTGACATTCTGTAGCTGACCTTCTGGAACAGAACTGGAAGTACTACATGATGGCTCTAATCTGGTAGCGTGATAGTTCCATTTCTGATAACTAGTACTTAATGATAACGATATGTTTTCACATATTTCACAATACACTGCTCTAAAGCAAGTCTCCTTCTTTCAAATGCCAAAAGTCGTTTGAAACAATATGATTAAACACGCCAACGGGAACTGTTTATGTAGATGATATTCGCGGTGGCGGGAAACATTCGTTAAAGCCCGATATCCTAAGTAAGAGGTATTTTAAATCACGGCAGACTTTTCATAGTCCGACTGCATTAAATTTGGTGCATGAACCTCTCATTTTTAAGTAGGGTCTATCAAGTATCGCTTTATAGCTAAAAACTTTAAAATATCCAGCTTTAAAAAACAGATTAATTCCGTAATTTTAAGATTTCGAAGTTCAGCAAATCAGTAAACATTTTTCAGATTTACAATTCGGTAGTCCTACCGTTCGGAGTTGTAGCGCGTAAGAGTACGCGGGCGACGAAAATCAGGGGCGGCCGGACTCTCGCGATACCACGACTAAATATTTTAAATTCATTAAATTCATTTTAAGTACTTGTCATATGTAAGTACTTTTTATATAGTTTTTCATGTATAAGTACTTAGCGAATATGAAATAAAAATTTTATTAATCATTGAACATTTTCTGGGGGTGGCAATCCTAGGAAAGTACGTGAGCAGCCAATGTCCTAGGGGAGGCAATTCTAGGAAAGTACGCGGGCAGCCAATGCCCTAGGAACGGCCCTGTAATACAAATGAAAGGATTATCGTCACACTTAATACATAATGCTTTCCTAAAAACTTGTGACTACGAAGATTTCCTAAAAATATGAAAACAATTTCTTTGGCTTCTACCGCAGATTTAACTCTTCCATTCTAAAGAGCGAATAAAGTTTCGGAATTCTCAAATGACAAAACCAACTAATCGTTCAGCCTCAAATGCTAAGCAAAATACAAATTTATCGTTAATACTAAGCTTAATGAACAAACAGAGAACCTCTCTAAGAAAATTGAATGCTTGTTTCTGAAATAATACAATAAAAATATAATATACTCCAATAACTGTAATCTTTAGACAAGTATACAAAGTAATTTTCTCACAAAAAATGCCAGCACTAGTTATTGTTTTCCCCAGCAAAAGTTTAAAGCTAATGCCCATAAGTGTGTTTCTCTATACACCTTTCAGTCGGTAAACTAAATTCGGCTGCTGTTCCGAAACAAGTCACAAATACTGGAATGCAAGCAAACACTTCAAACAGATTACATACGTAAGATAAGCATACAAATACGGCATTTTTTGTTGATACAGGTAGTGCCATTTCTTGGATTCCTCTGCCCAGGAAGAAAACGTATTACTGCTACTGCTTAAGAACAATTTGCTGCAAATGATACTAAATGTAAAACATATGGCATTAAACCACTTATTTTAACTTTGAAACTTAAGTGGAATTTAAAATGGGATTTAATAACCTTTGATATTTTCATTCCAATGATAGGAACTGACTTTATCATTCATTTTGGCTTACTACTCGACTCACACACACACACACATAGAAAAAAAAAAAACTGTGAACTCATTTAACAACTTTTGTTGCTACTGGCGAATTGGAACACAGCACTCAGTTGAATGTACAGACTGTTTATGAATGTTCTGAATTTCACAAAATACTTAGACAATTTTCTGAACTAACTAATCCTGCGATATATAGTAAATTAATCAAACATTACACGATTCATTACATCGAATCTAAAGGATAAAAGCCTCGTTTCCACTACTGCGTACGAACGCGTTGCGTCAATTGAAGCCACGCCTACGGCATCCGTACAAGCGTTTCTACTGCTGCGTATCCGTAGAATTATTTTCATTTTCCGCCGCTAGGTTGTCACTGTAATATTTTGGCGCCAAACAAACAGTTCACGAGTTATGACGCTGAACATCTGAATTTTTCTTGCTTAAGCGAAGTATTGTTTGTTTTTGGATTTGATATGGATTCCTGACGTAAAACGCAGAAAAGTTTTGTTTACTACTAAATTCCATGTTATTGAAAATTTTTATTTCTGCTTATGAACTGCGAAAGTAAAGTACGCTAGCAATTTTAAGATAAGTAAAGGTTATAATGCATATTATGAACATCACTAATTCCATAGAAGCTGAAGTAAATTAAAAAAAATTTTTTGCGTTTCTAGAAGCCTTAAATATTGATGAAATAATATATATATTATTAAAACTAAAATGTACTGTTAGTGAAAAAATAAACAAATAAATAAATAAAATAAAAAAGTTAAGGGAATTAAAAAATAGTTGGTACTTTAAACATACAGAGCAACTGTAAAGAAAGGTTCACAATATTTACACAAAATTTGCTATGCTTGTAAACCGTTGACTTCAGGGTCATAGCTGGATAATTTATTAGAAATCTCGTTTGTTTTAAAATGCACTATAGCCAGTTATATTTTATGCATAATCCATAAAATATTATTTTTAATTTAAACATTTTTAATTCATATCTCTTTTTATAGAAGAAGTTATCAAAATAAGATTTTCTCTTTATATATACACACATTAGGTAAAGAAAATGTAAATATTTAATTAATTAATTCCTGCGCTTCTGCTGGAGAGGACTGAATTTAAAGGCAATTATTATAGTAATTTTTTGTTAAAAAATGTTTAGGGCATTAATACTGTCTCATGTTAATTGGAATGAAAGTTTAGAGTCGTAAGCATCCCAAAGTCTGAGCATATGTATATACATTCACATAAATGTGAAACGAGAAAATATATATATCTACAAAGTTTCAAAATGAATTAAATTTAAATAATTCTCTTGCGCCGTTGCTGCAAGGAATGAAATTTGAATTTAACAAACATTTTCTATTCGTAAAAAGCAAATTTAAAGTTAATTAAATTTAAATGAAATTTAATGCAAATAAATAAAAGATTAATTATTGCTGCGAACTAATCTACAATATCATTTAAATTCTGAGAGCATATG